CCCCATGAAATCCAGTCCCTGCCTAATTCTCACCACTCACCCTTTTCCTTGAGCCCCCTCCTCCTGCTAGCCACTCTGCTCACTCATTCTAGTACCATCCATTGGACCTGCCACTGCGCTGGACAGGGCTATGCACTATGGAGCAAACCTGCCTTCCTGCTGTTTGTCCACACCGGGGGAGAGCAAGTAAACACATGCTGTGGGTCCTGTTAGCCCTGGTGCCAGGGAGCTTAAGGACACCCAGGGTGGGGGCGCTGCTGCAGCTGAGCTGCACAGGATGGGGTGCTGGAGGGGGAGCCCGGAAGAGAGCAAAGGGCATCCTGGCACCGGGCAGGGCGGATGTATGGGAGGACAGGGAAGCTCTGCAGGTGATTTAAGGCCCCAGCGAGGGCACGGAGTGGGGTGTGGAGCAGGATTGGTAAACATAAATAGGTGGACCAAGAAGGAGGCCCGGGTTGAGAGCCGACTCAGGGCTGGCTCTGCCTTGGCCAAGAAAGTGCGAAGTGGGGTCCTGGTGCAGCCTGGGCGCTTTCTCATAACATAGGCTCCCCTGGCAGGCAGGCCCTGCTGCCCTGGGCTTCGCCTGTCAAAGGTTCTGCTGCAAGTCCTCATGGCAAAGGCGCCTCCTCCTGGAAGCCGTCTGGATTCCCCCCTGCTCCCTCCTCTGCGCTCCCCCAACTTGGGCTCTAGCAATATCCCCGGCTGGTGTCCCCTGCACGGTCGCTCCCGGATCTCCTCCTTGGGATCCCGGCAGGTTCCATTAAGCCGCGGAGGCGCGGAGTCCCGCCACGGGCGGAGAGCGAGGCCGGGGGAGCGGAAACTGCGCACAGTTCAGCGAGTCCCAGGTGCGCACGCTCCGTGGGAGCCTCGTGGCCCGACTGGCGTGGCCAGGACTCATTTGCTGCGCTTGGGCGCACACAAAGCCAGCCCGCCTGCGGATGCCAACAGCCTGGTCCCGGCCTCCCACCGCGTGACCCACGCGTGACCCGGCAGCCCACAGGCCTTGAACCAGTCCTTCCTGGACTCCACGCTCCGGACCTCCCCGCCCCACCCTCTGGGTGGGAGGTACCACCACGAGGGGACCAGATCGTCACTTGAGAGGTGCGGACCCAGGGCTGCCCCCTAGCGATGAAGACCTCAGGGACAGCCCTGCACCCCCAACCCCTTTCCATACAGTAGCAACCACAAAAGAGCCGGCCAGCCATGCCACCCTAACTGGCTTCCCTATCCAGGCCCCGCCTCTGGCAAGGGAGGCTTTCAAAGTGTAAACCACATCGCCCTACTCTGATAAAATAAACCCCCAAATCACTGATTAGCAAAGTACATCAATCATCTCCTCACTTTCCTTCCAACCTCACCCCTGATTCCTCCCTCTCCCATTCACTCCCTTTTAGCCACAGGGATCTCCTTCAGGCTTCTCAAAGACATCCATTCCCCCCTCCTGCCTCAGGACATTTGCACTTGCTTTTCCCCCCCTTTACCTGTAATGCCCTTCTCCTGGATATTCCCAGGGCTCCCTCCATTGCTTCCTGCAGATCCCTCCCTATATACAACCTCCTCAAAGAGACCCTCTCATCCCATCACCCTCTCTAAAACACCATCTCTAAAGTCCTATCCCACTACCCCACCTCATCTTTCCTCCTAGTCACCTGTCTTTCCTCCTAGTCACCCCCTGACATATTAGTTTATTGTTTGTCCCACCAGCAATAACTGCAGGCCCTGAAAAGTGGAGGTTCCCCCCACCACAGGGCTGGGGACCCAACTCAGGGGTGCTAGGCAAGCTTTTTGCCACGAAGCTAAATCTCCAACCTCAAAAGTAGAGGTTTCTTATGCTTTGTTTAGTGCCCAGAATAAGATCAGATATAGTAGACGCTTAAGGAAAAACATTTTTTTTTTTTTTTGGTTCCATGGATTCTTTGGGAACATTCTGAGCCAAGCAGCAATTTTTGTTTGTTTTGTTTTTGATTTGTTTGGTTTTGGTGCTGGGGGATTAAAGAGCCAAGAACTCTTCATTCAGCCCACATGAGAAGCCTGTGATTCACCCATTTCGCAGATGTGGAAACAGATTCAGAGACTGGTCTAGAGCCTCCACTGAGTCTCTCCCCTGCCTTTCTACTCTCCATCTAACTCATTGTCCAGCTGTGGAATAGTGCAAGTGGCTTTGCCCTCCCTCACTCCAGGACAGGCAAGGCTGACCGTTGGCTGGGCTCCCACACAGGGCAGGAGGCACCGTCTCCCTTGTAGATCCTGGGTCCACAAAGAGAGGTCTCAGGCATCTCCTGGGGTGAACAGGCCCACCTTTGATCCCACCCATATTTCCCCAGTAAGACCCACCCTGGCCCTCGCTTCCAAATGCGTTCCAAAATATCCTTTCAGCCTTTCTTTCAGCTTCCACTGAGTCCCAAAAATATCCTCTGAGCAGACTGGGGTGGGGGGCGGCTTTTGTGCCCTCATTCCATAATACGTCAGGGGGTGAGGCAGTGAGAGAGGGCGACATTTGGCAACAGAGAGAAACAGACAGGAACACACAGATTCACGTAGACCAACAGAGAGAGGTGGGGGACGATGGGAGAGAAGGGAGGAACCAGGAGAGCGAGGAGGACACTCCTGTCCTCATGGACCTGACCAGGGCCACTGCCAACCCAGTTGGCCCTGGTGAGCAAATCAGAAAGGCACCACTCTGGAGGACACAGCCCTGTGCCAGGGAGCAGGACGTGGTGAGCTGAGCCTGGTGGACTGGGTTTCAGAGCCCCCTGGACCTTCAGCCAAGACCCTGGCACAAGGCCCAACCTACATGGTGTGCCTGGAAGACATCCCTGCTATCTGCACACCGGGGGAAGGCAACTTTGAAACTGACCTTGAACCTCTGCACTCACCCATGGGGTCTTCCCCCAGAGTAAGTCCTTGCACCAGGTCACCCCTGCCATGGTCCCCACGAGTACCAAGCCAGGTCATTCACAGAAAACTGCCCAGGACCTGTGGGGCTGGGAGGAGGCCCTCGTTCCTGCACCAGCACACAGATCCTTGTCCTGCAGCAGAGACAGCACCAGCGTGCCACAAGGCCCAGCCCACAGCTGGGAATCCCAGGAACTGAGAGGACGTGCCACAGTCTGCACCACAGACTGGGAGACAAGGAGCAGAGAGGAAAAGGGCTTCAAGGTTCCAGAGGACCCACCATCTGCCCTCCAGGCCCCCACCCTTCCCGAGAGCCTACACTCTGGGAGGAAATGATTAGCAGGGCCATTAGGGCACAGGTGAGTCATCTGGTCACAAGGCAGCCTCCTGGCTGACTCAGAGGCTGCAGATGCCCTTCCACCAGCCCTGCTCCACTCTGAGTCAAGGGCTCCAGGGTTCCTGGCCAAGAAGCCCGGGAGAAAGACCCCCACACACTGCAACCCATGAGAAACTAACCCTGGCTAACATCCCCAGCCCCCTGCAGGCTGCGGATGGGAAGTGGGATTTTGGACCCTCAGCAGGCTGGGTTGGGCCAGGACATCAGCTGCTGCAGTTTCCTTCCCCCCACCCTAACATGTGGCCACAGGGCCAGTCACCTAACAGCTGTTGTTCTCAATCACAGTGATTATTAAGGGTGGCCTGAAGCAGTGGCACAGGCCTATAATCCCAGCAACTCAGGAGGCTGAGTCAGGAGGATGACAAATTCAAGGCCAGCCACAGCAATTTAGTGAATGCGGTCCCCAAAATAAAAAGGACTGGGGATACAGCTCGGTGGTAGAACATCCCTGGACTCAATCTCCAGTACAAAAAAAAAAAAAAAAAAAAAAGAATGGTCACCTCGTTCTGTGTTGAACTTCAGTTCCACACCAGGCCCCAGACTGGACACCACGAGGGGACACACGGGAAACATCAGACCAGCTTCCTTGGATAACTGTCACTCTGGGAAGAATGGAGGCAACTGAGCTTTCTTATACATATATTGGGGTTGCTCAGAGCCTGGGACTGTGGAAAAGGAAGAGTTGGGGCCCCTCTGGGATCAGCAAGACCTCCTGGAGAACAGCACCCCCTGGTGTCCAAAAAAGGCCTGGCCTTCCTGCCCATGGGATCCTGGGAAGCCAGCCTGACCCTTCCATAGACCATTAGGACGCATGATTATGCACCCTCATCCCAAGCCTCCCCTCACTTCTGGAATCAGACAGCACTGGGCCCTCCAGCAATCTGGACCTCTCCTGAGGCCATGCCACACCCCTTTGACCTGTCCTGCCTGGAATACCCAGAGGTGCCCAGCCGTGAGCATGGCACAGCGTGGGCCCTGCCCTAACCCCATACCATGGGCTTGCAGGGGATGGGTATCCCAGCCTGAAGAGTCACCCCTCCTACATCAAACCCAGGGACTAGCCAGGTGCAGTGGGGGCACGCCTGTAATCCCAGAAGCTCATGAGGTGGAGGCAGGAGGATCGCGAGTTCAAAGCCAACCTTGGCAACTTAGCGAGGCCCTAAGCAACTCAGTGAGACCTTGTCTGTAAATGAAACACAGAAAGGGGCTGCAGACATGGCTCAGTGGTTAAGTGCCCCTGGGTTCAATCCCCAGGACAAAAAAAAAAAAAAAACCCAAAAAAATAAACCCAGGGACCCCCTCCCTCGCCTGCCCCCCAGCCCAGTCCTCCTAAGGCTGGTCCCCACAGTTCCAGGGCCCCTTTCCTGGCTTTGTCCCTGAGCTGGCTGGGCAGGAACTTCCTGTTGGAGAATTCCCGGATCCTCCCTGTGAGGCCACAGCATGGCTGGGAGCAGCGAGGGAGGGAATTCAGAGATGTTCCTCCTAACCGGGCCCAGGGCTAGGGGTCCTTCCCCACCCCGGGTCAGGCCTCCCTGCTCTCCCCACTCAGATGCTCTGCAGCCAGCACTGTGCTAGCATCTCTGGGCACAGACTGGGGACTCAAGTGAGACCCCAATAGACTGGTCAGGGATGAGGGGGCAAGGTCCAAAGACAAAAGCCACAGAGGCCAAAGGCAAACCAGGTTTTTATTAATAACATCATAGGCCCGAGTCTTATGGGTGGGGACAGTATGTTGGGCCACCCTCCAGATGCGTGGACACTGTTCATTCCAAAGCCCCCCCAGGCTCTAGGGGCTTCTTGGATGTGTCCTGGAAGAGCGACGTGTTCCTACTACAAGTGGGCCCAGGGGTGTGGGACAGGACAGACTCTGGCCAGCAGGGGCCTCACTCCGGAGGAGGCCAGTTTCCCATCTCATCCATCTCCTCGAGGAGCAGATGCTGAGGGGCAGAAACGGAGAAAAGGAGATGCCTCCGCACCTGTGGGCTCCTTCCCTTCCCTGCTCTGCACACCAAGACCCTCCCCTGCTCAGGAAAGAAGCACCCCAGAGCCACCTGTTCCAGAATCCCAAGGCTGGCTGGGTGCCACCAACCCGAGCTATACCTCCTTGCCATAAAATGGAGACTCCATTCTCTCTTCAACTTGGGGGGAGGGGTTCCCTGCAAATCCCAGGACCCAGGTACTCCAGCCAACCCCTTCCCTCCCTCACCTCTGCCCTGGAATCCACACCTAGGGGACTCTGCACCCTTCCCTCCCCCAAGCCCCCAGCATTCTCCAAAGGCCAGGAGGTGGGACCCTGAAACACTGTGGATGCAACTCTGGCCCCAAAGCAAGGACTGGATAGGACCCCACTTGTGTCACCCAGAATCTCCTCGGGGCCCTTCCATGCTGCTCTGCTGCTCAGGCTGCCCCAGGACCGGGAGCCCTGGGACAGGACAGTTCAGAAGAAGAGGGAAGGAAGGTGAGGGGGAGTCCCAAGATTAGAGCCTTTTAGCATGAAAGGGAAAAAAATGAGGGGCCTGCCCCTTAAAAGGGGAACTTGTGTGTTGTTCTTTTTTTTTTGGGGGGGGGGCGGTACCAGGGATTGAACTCAGGGGCACTCAAGCACTGAGCCCCATCCCCAGCCCTATTTGTATTTTATTTAGAGACAGGGTCTTACTGAGTTGGTTAGCGCCTCACCATTGCTGAGGCTGGCTTTGAACTTGTGATCCTCCTGCCTTAGCCTCCCAAGCCACTGGGATTACAGGCGTAAGCCACCGCTCCTGGCAAACTTGTATGTTATGGATGAGAGGACACAGGGCCTCCCATGACCTAGGCATTCAGGGAGGTTCGGGACAATGGGAGAGTACCCCAGTGCCCAGTGTTTATAGTAATCACTACCTCAGGAGGTGAGGCATATGCCACTGTCCCCAGTGTGGCAGGGCCTTTAACTGTAGACCCTTGAAGGCTTAGAGTCAATGTCACAGAGCAAGTAAATGCCAGAGTTGAGACTTTGCTTAGAGATGTTGGCCTCTCAACCTTGGGCTCATTCTTTCTGGAAGCCACATGGACATGGCAGGGGAGAAATCAACTCAAAAGGGCGCTGTTCCAACAAGAGATCCATCCAGGCTCGCAGAGGAGCTGAGACAGGCCTAAGCTTTCATGGTGGGTGTCAAGGAGGGAGAGCAGTGGCTGGTCCTTGGTCTGCCCGGTGGGGTTGCTCTCTAGAGCCTCTGGGTGCTTGTGAGAATGGGTGAGAACAGGGGAGAGAATAGAAGAAGAGCAATATCGCGCTCTAACATGATTTCAGCCTGTCTAGACAAATCCCCTCATTGTTCATGACTCTGGTTCAAGTGAGAGATGACTGAGGAAGTGGGGGGGGGTGAGGATGCACACATATGTGTGTCTGTGCCTGTGCATGTGAGTTCAGGGTCGAAGGGTCCTGAATTCAGAAATGCTACAACTAAAAAGGGGTCTTCCCCAACCCTACCCAGGCAGTGGGGGCTGAGCCCCGAGGAGGTGGGAAGCCTCTTTCACCAACGCCCTCAGGCAGGGGCCTTGGTGGTCTGGGGTGGCCAGACATACCTGGCCATCCACCATGCCAGCCTCCTCCAGGGTGATCTCTGGCCAGGTCAGCAGCTCCCGGCCCTCTAGGCTGCCCATCTTCCAGAGGCGAGCCTCTCGCTGTACTGCCAGAAGTTTCTTCAACTCCGACTCCACAAAACCTGAGAGCCAGAGAGATGGGCATATGTGAGATTGTGAAATATGTATTTGGTCTTCATCCTGTTTCCTGGCATGCAACTCCTGAAATCCTTGGCATCTTCAAAGTGGTAAGTGTCTTTGGGTATGTGGATGGATGACTGAGAGCTGACAGCCCTTCTACAGCTTGGGGATGCCAGCTGTCACCTGAGAGACCAAGGTGGCTTCAGAGGGTTGGGACTTTGACCTCTGCAAATCCAGCCTCCAGGGAGGGGAGAGGGGATGAAGGTGAAATGGATCACCAGTGGCCAAAGATTTAGTCAATCATACCTATGAAAAAGCAAAAGGATGGATCTTGGAGAACTTCCGGGTGGCTGAATTGCTGGGTAGCTGGGGTGCAGTGGCCGGTGGCCAGGAGAGGGTGTGAAACCCCCAGGCCCTGCCCTAGGCTTCATCTGTACCCTTTGTGATATCCTTCATAATAAACAGGTAAAGGTAAGTCAAATGTCTCCTCTGTTCTGTGAGCTGCTCAAGCAAGTTGAGCTTGGGGAGGGGGTCACAGGAACCCTGACTGGTAGCTGGTTGGTCAGAAGCACAGATAAAACAACCTGGCACTTGAGATTGGCATTTAAAGTGGGGGACATGCCGGGTACGGTGGCCTGTGCCTATAATTCAAGAAACCCAGGAGCCTAAGGCAGGAGGATCAGATGTTCCAGGCCAGCCTTGGCAATTTAGCCAGTGGCTGAAGTAAAAAATCAAAAGAGCTGGGGGTATAGTGCAGTAGTAGAGTACCCCTGGGTTCGATCTCCAGTATCGCAAATAAATAATGTGGAGGACAGTCTTGTGACACTAAGTCCTCAACCCGTGGGATCTGATGCTCTCTCTAGGTAAACAGTGTCAGAGCCAAATAGACTGGAGGACCCCGGGTGGTTTCCTCTGCAGAACCTGGGGAGCTGCTAGATGGCTTCGAGCGTGGGGATGTACTGCCACACATCTGTATCACAGTATTTTGTGTTATGACAGCGTAGGAGAAACCGAGTTTGCTATTCCAATATTCTCAGAGCATGAGAACACAGGAGCAGAGTGGAACCAGGTGCTGGGGACCCAAGGACCAAGAGAGGGAGGCTGCTCTTCCAACCTCACTCCAGCTCGGCCACCCAAGAACGCCCCCTCAAAGCTCTTCAGTTACTGGGAGGCAGCCAGGCCCTCCTACCCCAGGAAGGGGGGCTCCCTCTTGCAAAACAGAGATGTGCGGCTGCTCCTGGGCAGAGCATGGGGGCGTAGATCTCTTCACCCACATACTAAAGAGCTTGGACCCAGCCCCTGTGACAGGAGCCTGTAATCCCAGAGGCTCAGGAGGCTGAGGCAGAAGGATCCCAAGTTCAAAGCCAGTCTCAGCAACTTAATAAGGCCCTAAGCTATTTAGTGAGACCCTATCTCTAAATAAAATATTAAAAAGGGCTTGGGGGGCTAGGAATGTGGCTCAAGCGGTAGCGCGCTCGCCTGGCATGCATGTGGCCTGGGTTCGATCCTCAGCACCACATACAAACAAAGATGTTGTGTCCACCGAAAACTAAGAAATAATAAATATTAAAATTCTCTCTCTCTCTCTTTAAAAATAAATAAATAAAAATAAAATAAAAAGGGCCGGGGATGTGGCTCAGTGGTCAAGTGCCCAGGTACCACACACACACACACACAAAAGCCTGGATCTGTTAGTTCAATTCCAGCTCTGCTCATTATTAGCTGTGTGACCTTGGACATATTATCTAATGTCTCTGTGCTTCCCTGCTATAAGTGGTGATGATAACAGGACCTACTTCAGAGTTGTAATCTACCATTTTATGAAAAGTGCTTATGTGAGGGTCTGGTCACCCAGTGATGGCTAAGTAAATGTCAACAATGACTTTTTGGGTTTTGGCAGGGGTTTGGGAGGTGAACGTTGGTGCTGGAAATTGAACCCAGGGGCCTCATACATGCTAAGTACTCCCTCTACCACTGAGCTACACCCTGGCTCAACAATTTTTTCTTTCATTTGTTTTCTTTTTGTGGTCCTGGGTGTTGAACACAGGGCTTCATGCATGCTAGATAAGCCCTCTACCATTGAGCTGTATCTCTAATCCCAGTGCTTTGTTTAAATTTTATTTTGAGAAAGGGGCTCCATAAGTTGTCCAGGATGGCCTTGAACTTGTGGTCAATCCTTCTTTCAGTCGATTCTACCTCAGGCTTCCAAGCAGCTGGGATTACAGGCCAACAGTGATTTCTGTCATATATTCTTTTTTGGTTTTGGTGCTGGGGATTGAACCCAGGGCCTTGGGCATGCAAGGCAAGTACTCTACCAACTGAGTAGATCCCTAGCCCCTGTCATACATTCTTACCAATTTTGATCCAACTGTCCTTCATGTTTGGGGCTGTATTAGGAGAGAGGACTCTCCAGGGCTCTGACACAGCAGTGCATGAACCAGGGACTCCTCCCAAAGAAATAAAACCTCTGGGCTGGAGAAAGTACGGTGCTCGAGTGGCCCCACCCCAACCCTGCAGCCTCAGAAACCCTGAGGGACCCTTGCTGGACCTAGAGACCTCCAGCCCCATAACACACAGGTCCCCCCCATCCCTGTTGGTCATCTTAGGTCCTCTGATGCCATCTGGTGGTCAATGCTTATATTGTACTCTTGGACTGAGTGCAATATAAGGGGGGCTTCTTGGGTCTGGGAACAATCCGGGAGGTGAGGGGTGGGGTGGAGAGTCTTACCCACTGTATCTGTGGACCTAAAAGTCTTGTGCAGTGGTGACTGGAAGCCAATAATTCTTGGGACACAGAGCTTGAATGAATTGTCCTCTTCCTTCATTTCCTCTTCCTCCCCTTTCTCCTGGAGGGGCAAGCCTTCCTTGAGAGGAAACTGATGGCCTGCCAAGTCTCTGAGCAGGTGCAGAGGGCCAGGACCCGGAGCCTGCAGCCCCCACCCTCCCTCAAGAAAACAGAAAGTAGGAGAGAACAACAGTCCCCGAAGGTGAAGAAAGGGGACTGTTCCCAAGGGACCAAGCCACATAGCCTGGGCTCAGCCAGGACCCCACCCCCCACCCCCACAGACCTTGACAATGGCTGATTTCTGGAGCTGCTTGTACACACCAAGGAGGCGGTTCCAGGGAGTTCCTGCCTTGGAAGAGGCCAGCCTGAGGTCTCCTGTGAAAGGACAGCAGTCACTGATGAGCAGGAGGCTGGGAGGAAGGAGGGGTCCCGGGGCAAGGAGGTGGGGCAGGCTGAGCTGAGGGCAGGGTTACCAAAGGGTTCTTTACCAAACCCTTGTTGTGTGCCAGGCCCAGTTTTAGGCACCCGAGGAAGCCACCTTGGTCAACCCTTGCAACTGATTTATTCTCATTTTATAGATGAGGAAACTGCTGAGGTTAACAACACGCCACCATCCCACAGCCTGGCGGAAGTGGGCTTCGAACCCAAGCAGTCTGACTTCAGCATTCCTCAGAATGGGTCCTGTGGGCTGCCAGGCCTTCCCCCTGCACCCCTCGGCCTAGGGCCACCATTACTCACCATCAAGTAGGCACGCCTCCTCCTCCTCCTCCTCCTCCTCCTCCCTGCTGAAGGCCTCTGGGCTGACTTCCAGCAGCTCCGTGTACCTCAGGCATTCTTGCTCCTCCTCCAGGGCCTGGGCACAGTGGCTCCTAATCCCAAAGCACAGACAGCTAGGGGAGGCAGGTGGGCCCAGAGAAGTGGCAGTGACCTTCCCACCCCAAACCTCCTGGGCAAGGCTTTCCCACAGGCCTGCCTGGCCCCCTCCATTAGCCCTCTCCTTTGGGCCCCCTGGGGTCTTCGTCATGGAAGGAGCTATCCCCCCACCCCAAGAAAGTCAGTGTTGAGGAAAGGAGACTGAGAGAGGCGGTCCCCCTTTCTCACACAGAAGGCCCAGGCCCAGGGGGAGTGGGGAACCAGAAGGAGAGAGTCTGGAGGGCAGGCAGCAGGGAGGAGGGCCTGAATAGGAGAGGGAGGCGGAGGGAGCTGAGCCCACCCTGTGTACTCCCTCCAGCCCTTAGCCCATCCCCCTCTCTCATGGTCTCCCTAGCAATGCTGGGGTCCAAATCCAGGCCTCAAGTGCTAGGCAAGCCCTCCACCACAAAGCCACACCCCCAACCGCACCCTTCATCACCCTTTCATCCACAACCCTGTACTTGTGAAGGACCCCATGGGTCTCCCCTCCAAACCGTCATCTATAGACCTCCCCACTCTTTCTTTCTTTTGGTACCAGGGATTGAACTCATTTACCACTGAGTTCATCCTCAGCCCCTTTTATTTTTTATTTGGAGACAGGGTCTCACTAAGTTACTTAGGGCCTCCGTACATTTCTGAGGCTGGTCTCAAACTGGCGATCCTCCCTCCTCAGTCTCCTGAGTGGCTGGAATCACAGGCATGTGCCTCTGAAGCCAGATTTAAAGTTAGGTAGTCAGTGTAGTTAGGTAAATCGGGTCTAATATCGAGTGAAATCTAAAATGGAGGCCATGCTGAGAATGAATTTCCAGAAGAGTTGAGCAACTCTTGAAATGTTAATGAAGTCCCAAGAAAAGCCCTAGGCCCAAAGTCCATCCCAAAGAAATATTAATGAACGGCCCCAGCAGATTTGAAGATAGCCCATCCCAAAGAAGTGTTAATGAAGTCCTTCCTGCCCAGATCACTTCTTTGGCCCACCTGTGTCCCATGTTCAGGCCTCTTCCCGGTACCTCTACCTTAGGCTCCCGCCCCATCCGGGTCCCCAACACAACCACCCTCCTTGACCCCAGCACCTCACCTGTCTAAATCCCCTGAATCCCCCGAGGCCTCCCCTGCTGGCGCCTCTTCCTTCTCTGACATGTTGCCCAGCACCTCCAGGCTTCTTCCAGGAAGGAATGGCTTCACTTCTACGCACTGGGCTGTAAGCCTCAGGACCTCCTTGGGGTTAGTGGTCTGGGAGCCCATGTCCCCCATGCCCAGCCCAAAGGCCTCGTGCTGTAACAGGTGTGCGGAGCCCCTGGGCACGGCCACTGAGAAGGTAGAGGGCAGCGAGGCAAGGGGCCCTGGCTCCCTCCACCCGCAGTCCCCCTGGAGGCCCGTCTTCAGGGAGGTGGTATCCTGTTCTTGTAGCAGGCACAACTGGCCCCTGGCCAGGGCCTTGTCCGAGCTCTTTGGGTTGCCCTTGCTGCCTACCAAGCTTCGGAAAAAGCGGAACATAGGAGAACGGCCCAAAATCCGTGACCGTGATCTCGAGGTTGGAGCTGGGGCCTCCATCCTGAGAGGGACCCTGACTCAAGGAAGAGTTGCAGCAGCCCAGGACCAACTGCTTAAGAACAGGGAGTTTTCAAATTAAAACCTCCAGTTGGAGACTTCCAGGAGTTCTAGAAGGCAAAGATGAGGCGGGGGTGGGGTCTCAGTATGGGGTGGGGGACATAGAGGGGGATGTGTTAACTGGAGATGGAGAGGACAGAGTGGACGAAGCAGAGGAGAGGGCGCAGTCTAGCTGGGCTCCAGGTTGACGAGGCTCCAGGGAGCATGGGGGACAAGCTGGGGGTGGCAATGGGGCTGGAGTCCAGGTCAAGACTGGACGGAGAAGAGGTTTTTGAGAGCCCAGAAGGCCTGGCAGGGGATAGACAGGAAGACTGTGAGGGAAGGGACCCTAAGAAGGAGGCGGGGGCTGTTGGGGACTCTGCACACACTTCTGTCCTTCTGTAGTTTATTCTGTGCTTGGGAACATTCCTGAAGCCACACAGTTTCTGTCCTCCCTCTTGTCCCCACTGGCCTGCCCAGGTCTAGGTGGTAGCACAGACTCCAGGGTCTACATCTCTGCTTCCCTGCCGGTCACCTTCAAGATTTGGGATCCCAGTGACTTCCAAGGTGCCTTGTTGCCCAGATTTGAATGTATATTGAATCCCAGTTTAGTAGCAGTATTCCTCGTAGCACCCACGACTCTGACCATGAACCCAGGTCAGTGACCTTGGGACAGTTCCTCAAACCAGTAGAGCCAGCCTCACTTTGTCCATTTGTGAAATGGGCCTAGTCAACCATCCCGACTTCCAAAGGTGCAGAGAAGATACAAGGAAAGAATGGTTTCTAAACTGCATTGCTAAGTTGAGGTGCTTAAGAAACTTCTCAATCGTGTTTTTTTTTATTAGTGTTAACTGAGGGAAGAGAGGGAAAATCAAGGAGGACTGGAATAAGGGATGGGAAAAGCAGTGAGCCCCAGGAAGCCTCTCAGCCTGGCTGGGAAGTGGGTGGGGGGAGGGGGAGAGAGGAGGGGGAGAGGGGGAGGACCAGCTTCCCCCTACAGCCCGCCCAGCCCGTGCCTCCAGGCTATAGGCCTGTGCATCCGCATCCGGTGGCCACCAAGCAACTTCCTCTAGAGGGAGCTGATTGCAGCTGGGTGCTGCCGGCACCTCTAGGATCGGTGGAGCCGCGCGGGTCCCTGGGGCCGCACCACGACAAGCAAGAGCTGCATCCTGACACCAGGAATGCACTGACGCTGGTTCCTGGAAGCTGAGCCCAAAACCCTGCCGCTGGGAGCAGCCACCAGCCCTTGGGTATCTTCGGCCTTGGCCCTGCCGAGCTTTCCGGCTCTGGACCAGAGACTGGACAGGTAAGCCGGCAGTTCCCTCCATCTTCCCTAATCCTGCAAGTTTCAGCCCCAGCGTGAGGCAGAGAGCCCACCGAGAGCCAGGTAGGGAGGAGAAGTCTCGAGACTTGCCCAGGCAGGTCCCCATGCCCCGCTGGGGGTCTGGTCGCGACAGGCTACCTCTGGCTCCCCTCTCCCAGATAGCTCCCCCTCTAGCCTCGGCCCTGGATGGCCCTGAATGCCAGAGAACCAGGCAATTTAGCAATCTGGGGGGTTGGGAGAGGAGGTCAGAGCCAAGGTCAAGGGTAGGGAATAATACTTTCACAGAGCTTTCTGCTGCCCCGGGATCTCTAGACTGGGTCTGGGGCCAGGCCAGGCGTATCTTCCTGGGGAACATCTTTCATAGGCCCAGCAAGCCAAGGAGATGGGGGTGGAATGGGAAGTTAGGCCACTGGGATGGTGGGGGTAGGCGGAGGCCCTGGTGAGCATAGGCTGCCGGCTTTGGGGGCTGTTCTGAGACTCTGTCTGCTCTCCAGCAGTGAGCCCCTGGGGAGGAAGGAGTTAGAGGGATCTGGTGATTCCGTCAGCATCCCCTGGCAGTGCTGTCCCAGGGGGACCAGATTTTGGAGACCAGAGAAGAGGAAAGAGCATCTTAGGAAGAGGCTGGGGGGTGAGGTGTGCAGGCAAAGAGCTGTACAAGGCCTGGCGCCCAGGGGTGGGGGAGGGGAGGGTCTGCCTTTGCCTCATCCTTGTCCCTAAGAGGGTAGAGGTAGGAAAAACTGAGTGTACAGGTGGTTCAGTGCTCCGCTACCTCTTCTCAGGGAGCTCTTAGGTAACTCAAAAATGATCCCAGGCCTAAGCGGAAGGAGGGTGAGTGAGGGAATGTGGGCCTGGGGCCAGGTAGGGGTCTGCAGCCCTTGTACAGGGTGGGGCTGAGTCCTCTTCAAGGACAGGAGGAGGGGCGCTTCCTGCCAGGGTGATGGAGGACACTTGGAAAGAAGTGGGGCTCTGGAAGGGGCGCAAACTGAAAGTGAAACCGTTGAAATCAGGAAATACTCCCTCAGCCGGAATCGAGGCCATGCTCGGACTGGGCAAAGAGGAAAACTGGGGCTGGGAACCAGAGCACAGGTGTGTGGCAGAGTTGCGTGGTGTGAGGCAGGTTGGGGGCTGTGTCACGCTGACTCCTGAGGTCCTTCTGAGGGCAGGAGTGGGGAGGGCACAGACAGGGAGTTGCCGGATGGAGAGAGCTGCCCCGGGAAAAAGGACACCCTCTGAAATCCCAAATCCACAAACTGGAAGAGAAGATAAACGGTGTGTGCACTCCTGGAGATCAGATAACTGTCCTGACCTGCCCCGACTAGCTGTATGGCCTCAGGCACTAACCTCACCTCGCCTTCCTTTTCCCACCTGTCCATGAGGGTGGTGATGCTTTATCTCACTGGGGTAGGTGGGTTTTCAATACTTCAGTGGTAGGAGTACACAGCAGGCTCTCAGGAGGTGTTTGCTGAAAGGCCTGAGTTGGAAAAAAAGTATGTTTCTGCCAGCCAGGGGGAAGTGGGCCCTTGAGGAGGGCCTTCAAGGGTCACCGGCTGGGAGGGGTCAAATGTGGTAGTGTGGGCTGGAGAGCCTGCAGGTAGCCCTAGGAGTAACTGAAAGAAACCTCAACCTCTGAAACTAGTGATGTGAAATGGGACACAAGAGCCACCAGGGCATGGCTGTGACCTTACCCCTCCAAAAGGTCCTGATTGCCAGTACAGATACCTAGATACCTTGGTCTCTCCCTAACCGCCTCACCTTTCTTTTCTTTTCTTTTTTTTTTTCCTTGGTGGTGCTGGAGGTTGGACCCTGGGCTTGTGCATGTGAGGCAGGCACTCTACCAGTTGAGCTGTATTCCCAGCCCCAACTGCCTCACCTTTCTGACCCCATCTCCTTAGAAAGATGGCCAGTGAGTCATTCAGTGAATTCTCTTTCCTCTTGGAAGATACCGCTGGGACCCAAGGTAGAGGCAGCCTCTCTCGGGTCCCTGGTCAGAGCCCATACCTATCTCTGCTTTTTCTCACCCATTCCCACAGGCTGACACTGTCCTCTACTAAGACCTGAAAAATGGCATCCGGGCAAGGCCCAGGTCCTCCCAGTGAGGAATGTGGAGAGCCAACCTCCGATTCTGGTAAGGGTCTTCTTGACCATGAACTCCCGTAGACACAAGGGTTATCTGGAGGCTGCAGGGAGCCCATGTGGGTAGGGCCGAGAGGACTAAGGGCTGAGGTCCTACCTCAGCTCAGCTCCTTGAATAAAGGAGGAAAGTATCTCCCAGCCCAAGGCTGGTGGCCCCTTGGGCTCAAAAGCGGGAGCTGGAGTTGGAGCTTGAGTCAAGCTTGAGTGGGCGGAGCCTGGGCTGGGAAGGTCCAGAGGTTGGGAGAGGCCCAGGAGCCAGCATGCAAGAGGGCACAGTGCCCTCCCTGCGCAGAGGGCGGGATTGAAGGTGAGGGAGGAGGGCAGGAGGATGGGGCCTGGCTGTTGTATCCCTGTAGTAGGAGAAATAAGGAAGTGAACTGGCTTATCACTGAGCGGAGTCCACCGAAAACGCAATTGTTGTGACTTGGGGGAGGAAGTAAGATGGCCGCCTGCCTTCTCTCTTCCAAGTGGATGGCAGGGAGGCCAAGCTTAAGGCTCACTAGAGGCTGTTCCTTGGACTTGGGGTTCAGGTCTCATGTCTCTATCTCCCTTTGTGACTTTTCTTGGCCCAAAGCTACCACTTGGAATTCTGTTTCTCCCCAAGGCCTCATGCACACAGAGGTAAACTCGGGAGCCCACGTGCCTGGAATTACTCCCTGGCTCCACTGCTTGTTCCAGTTGTGTGACCTTGTATGCATTACTTGGTCACCCTCTGCTGTGGTTTCTATAAACTGGAACTCTCTCCCTTCCCAGCTGATTGTGAGGACTGAGTGAATATACCAGCAGAGGACTCCACAGTGAGCACTAGGTGTCCACCATGGGGCCGGGGTGGGAACATTTCTATCTCGGGTGAGGACAGTCATGGCTTTGAGGAACACAGAGTCCCCCACAAAGGATGCACTGCTAGGGTCCAGTCTTCCCTTGCTGACTCCCAGCTTTGATCTCAGAGCAGCAGGTAGCCCGGGACACGGAGGAGGTTTTCCGTAGCTACGTTTATTACCGTCACCGGCAGGAGCAGGAGGCTGAGGGGGCAGCTGCCCCTGCTGACCCAGAGATGGTTGCCTTGGCCCTAGAACCTACCAGGTAAGCCCTAGCCCTGTAGGGACATCTTTAAGGGGACAGAGGCTCATATGGGGCTATGTGTGGGTCCTGGGAGCCAGAAAGGCCTGGGGGGCTTCTCTCCTCCCATTACCACTCCTTTCTCATTTGGGTTCCCACTCCCATATAAGATCATGCACCCTTTTTGACACATGCCTTCTCCTTATCCCTAAGCCCCGCCTTCACGTCAGCTAACACTGTCAGGGACCTCCAAGGAGAGGTACACAAGGCCAGGGCCCCTTGGGCGGAACCCCTCTGCTATAAGCCCATTTTCCACTGCCTCCTACTCCTGCAGTACCATGGGGCAGGTGGGTCGGCAGCTCGCTGTGATTGGTGACGACATTAACCGGCGCTACGACTCTGAGTTCCAGAGCATGCTTGAACAACTACAACCTACAGCTGCAAATGC